GCATACATGCATGCATACATACAAACATGCATGCATATATATATATGTACGTTTGTACATGCATGCATACATACATACATACAAACATACACACATACATACATACATGCATACATGCATACATCCATCCATCCATCCATTCATCCATGCATGCATACATACATACATACAATCATTACATTACGTTACCTTACATTACATTAAATACATATAAACACACATACACACATACACATATATACACAAACACACACACACACACATACGTACATACATCCATCCATACATACATACATACATTACGTTACATTACGTTACCTTACGTTACATTACATACATATACACAGACATACACACATACACATATATACACAAACACACACACACACACATACATACACGCATACATGCATGCATACATACTTAAAACAAACACACATAATTATACCAGCGTTGACCCCAAACAGATGTAGAACATCTCAATTATATTTTAGTTTGCGGCAAAGGATATCATTTCGGCATCCTTCCCTGCATTTATTGCCCGCCCTGCCCCCCCCCCTCAATGAATATGAGAAAATATGAGAATATGAGGCATATTGGTAGAAAATGGTTTCCACATCCAACAGACACACATAAAACAACAGACATACATGCATTAACCAAACAGACAGACATAATTACATGCGTTTACTGTATCTATGTTCATATATATATATATAATTATATTATGTACATATATATATATACACCAAACAATGTAGCAACACATTTTGGGTTAGCCCTTGAACCAAAATGTAATAAGAGTGCAAAACACCTAGCTCTCACCACCGCTTCTTCGCACCGAGCAGCTCCACACACAGGTGGCATCGAGAGTGATGATGGACCAGGGCCGCGTGCCACCCATGTGTGACGCCATGGCCAGGGATTAAGCGCCCTTGGTGCACTTGTGGGTCCATATCGACAGTTGCAAATACAGCTGAAAGGTCTAGCTCAGTTTCTCGGCTTGCCACATGCACCAGCTTGCCTTGTAATTGGCTTGCGATGCAATTGGAGGCCACAGAAGCAAACGCCTCACCACGATAGAGAGCAGCTTGCAATTTCCACTGCCGCATTCCTGAATGGTGAGCACGTCGAAGGCTCTCTGGTTTTATCCGGATGCAAGGCAAGTTTGTCAAGAAGGAATGTACAACATGCAAGACACATCGGCCCTGAAACTCCGCAACTTGTAGGAGCTTGAACTTCGGGGCGAACACAAATGTCAAAAAGGGAGTGTCAGCAAGCTCTTCCACCAAGACATGCTTTGTCACAAACCAGCGGGTTCGAAAGGGGTTCCTGCATGAAAGCAATCGCAGGTTTGAAACCAAAACCCTGTACTGAAGTTTGAGTCGGCCATCCATATGCCATTTCCTTTCAACATAGGGGAATTGCTGCGGATCTGGCCATTCAATGCGTTGCAAGAAAGGCTGAAATCTCTGGCACAAGTAATGGAAAGCATCTTCACACTCGCGAGGCACTGCAGGTAAGCGAAGCAACCTGACATCCGGGCTGTTTGCCCTGTCCGGTCTGCATATTACGACTGGGTAACCCTTTGCAAGCATTAGTAAACTGACCCAGCACCCAAACACAATTCTCCGTATGAAACCCATTTTTGATTTGTGGTCCCGGTTTGGCTGTGGCAACCATGAAAAACAAAAAATGATCATATTTCCTCGAAACTCTCGCCACTGAAAGGCCCGGATCATAGCGCCATGCAGGTCCATTACAGATGTTGACAAGCCCACCGGCCCCCAGTAGGCCTGGTATTCTCGGAGCAAGTTGGCAAGTAGAATCTGCGCAGCGGCCAAGGCAGCGCCAACACACAGGAACACATGAGGGTCATGCAGCGCTAGTACGCAGCGAGGCCCTGCAGTTGGCCCAGCAGAGGACTTGTACAAACCCTTCACCCCTTGCATGCGGGTAGGCGTGGGCTCCACAGGGCCAACCTGGTAACGTGGGGCCACTGAAACCAGGTCTGCTGAAACAGGTCGTAGTGAGTCTTTTGGCAATCTAGTTCGGGCCACCCAACGTGGGACCCGCACATCTACCTGCTTCACCATTTTCCTGCGACCTTGTGACCGGGTCAACTTCAACTTGATTTTCACGGTGTCTGGTTCTTGAGGTGACTGAATGGTGTTGCATTGGCACTTTGGCGCCAGGCACCGCTGACCAGCGCGAGTGTCAATGGGAAGTTGGAGTGAACAACGCTTCAGCTGATGCCTTAAAACCATGTCCCCCAAGTTGCCCAAGAATTTGGGCCACAATCTACCCAATCGTGACAGCAAGTGCGCCCTGAAAAACATCTCCAACTCTTTGGCCGACAAGTAAGACTTGAGAACCGCTGCAAAGAACACAAGTCGCCTGAGAATGCGGACGGATTCCAACCTTGTACGGAGCGCATCCAACGTCCAGCTTGCAATCTCATGTGCGGCCCAAAGATCGCGGGCGTTGCTCTGGAAACACTGGCCAGGTATAGTCAGCGGCCCCGACACATCTTCAAACAGCAACAGAAACGAAGCAAAGTCCACAGCCTTAGGTTCATAAATTTTTGCGAGATTCAAACATTTTCAGGTCCTTTCGCTAAACGGCGTTGAACTATTTGGCACCGAAAGGGTGAAGTTAAGGTTGTTCGCCTCTTCAGTTTCAACGTCTTGACATTCATTACTTTCGGCCCAAAAAAGGCTCACCTGTGTGATGGGCAGCGCAAAAACAAAATGTTCTGAATCTTGCAAGACATAGCACCATTGTCTCAACTTCTCTCTTACTAGAACCTCAGAAAACTATTCCTAATGGCTGCGTTTATTTGTAGCTTCAGTCCCCGCTTCCCAAACCCAAACTTTGAGCAACCCGCTAGGGCGAGGCTAAAAAACCAAGGCACGTTGAGTCTCTTGCCAATCCCAATCAACTTCTCCAAAGTCTGGCTGCCAAATCCTTCTCTGCAGAGGTCAAGCCGGGAGTGCATGGCAGCGTGGTATGCTCGATAGTTGTGGTACAGCTTGCCAGGGCTTCCTGCGGCATCTTGCAAAGATTATGCAAGTGGGAGGTTCTACCTGATTCTACCTCAAACATGGGGGACACAACATTAAATGCTGTTTGAAAGAGAGGTTCAGGCTCCAAAATATCCAACATGCTTGAAATCAATGCAAATCCCCGGCAGAAAGCATCGAGAGCAATTCAAGAAGTATCAAACAAGAAAGAAAACCGCTCCCCAACAGCAACATCGCTTTAGCGTGAGAATTCAAGGGATCTTCTACCTACTCCAGGATTGTTATCCGATGTTATCTATACATACCTGCTCTAGCAAAATCAAACAGTTTGGAATTCAGAACGCACACCAGCAACACTACGTCACTTCTTGACCAGTTCCAGCCTTCCAAGGACACAGTCGGGCGCGTGCCCGAGTGAGCAGGTGCCGCGTATGCCTTTGTGTTTGTGTATTCAGCTGCCGATCGTAAAATGATGCGGCCTGCGCCCGTCCCGAAAAGTTGGGACATACAGGCAGAGACGTCGAATAGTTCAGTGGTCAAAGGGGAAGCTCTGAATGCCCGCTTGCGGGCAACATCCTCTCGGTGGAACGGGTCCCACTCGATGAACTCTTCATCTTCTCCCCGTGCAAGTTTCCAGAAACAACTCCCCGCGTTGGTGCTTCCATGTCGTGCAGATGCGCCTCCTTTAACGACCGCACCGTCTCCCCCGATCGCAGTCAGCCGTCTTTTCATCATTTTCTCATCAACGCCGGCCGGGTGGCGGGAAAGATTCTCCAAGACCAAGCTGGCTGTGGCGGGCCCTTTGTGACTTTGGCCACTGCTAGGCGCAGCAAAAAGCCGAGCATGAAGTCGACCATCTACTGGAGACACAAAGCTTACTCCCACAACAAGCAAACTTTCATGCCGGCTCCATGTGGATGACCCCAGGGAAACTCCATCGAACAGCACAGAGAAATGACTGCTAACACCAAGCCCAGACAGCACCTGGTTGAAATCCTCAGCGTCCAGGAAGAGTTTTGCTTGCGCTGTCACGTATTCCACGAGACGGAAGAACTCAGGGGAGTGAAATTTGTCTCCGCAATCTACCCCATATCTTCGCAGCTGCTCTAAGCGACGAATTAAATGCAAATCACTTCCGCCTTCATAGGCATTGGAAATAATTTCAGATACTAGTGTTTTCATTATCTGCACATCGCTTCGTCTTGCATCAGCAGCCGTAGAAACATGCTTGCTAACCTGTCCTACAGGGGCTTCCCAATTCGACTTCTTCAATCGGGCTATCACAGCACGAATCGTGTTGGCAGGAACACGGGAAATCTGTGCTGCAACTTGCGCAGCCAATGGCTTTGTTGCTTTCTGTGGCATAGGTCGCAAATGTTCGGAAAGTTTTTTCAACAAATCACGAGGTGCACCCTTGAGTGAAAAATACATATTGGCCAAAACAATGGAAGTTTGGGCCATGACTTTACCAAGGCCAAAGCCCAAGCGCCCCACAGATGTGCCCATTGTCAGGCCTGGAATCCATTTGGAGTTGTCGGTATCCCCTCCCTCATTTTCAAATTCAAAGTCTTGGCCAATCTCATCTGACGGGCACCCAGCATCTGCTTCTTCAAACTCGTCTGTCAAATCTTCCAAATCAAAGAACTGAGGTGACGAATCACTCAGGTCAGGCTGGGACAGGGTTTCTGCTTCTTCCAGCGGAGGCAACTCGAAGTCAGTTTCGTCAATCTCAGGCAAATCAAAGCCAACTTCAGCAGCCATCAAGAAACGTGGGTCAGTCACGGAAAAAATTCTGCAAGACTCGAGGACTGGATTACTTTGTATTTGCTGAAGGACATGACTGCATTCAATTGTATTCATATTTCTCTGCTTTGACCCGTTGAAACACGGCTGGCTCGACAAAATGAAAAACGTGCCAATGTGACCAAACAATGTTGCTTTAGGGTTGCAACATGTAGAAAAAGTTTTTTTTTACAGTGGCTCAAAGAGCTGCAGCTGGACGGAAACATGCCCCATAGTTCTGGGAAACTTGGAACGGATCAAATCCATTTTTTGATGACAGTTCCGTGTTCAAAATCGCAACTGATGAACTTGTTTGTGAAGCAAAACAAAGGCTGTCTCCAAAATCAAAGCGACTCCGGAACCATAAAAAAAAAGTTTGTTTGGGATAGGGTTTGTCCCGGTTTCCTCCCCACACAAACATGAAAAATAGCTTCATTCCCAAGGCAAAAAGTCACATTGCCGAAACCATCCCAACTGAGCATATTTCCAAAAAAGGTCTCAATTTGGAGCCCCGGCAATCCACAGCAGGAAAGACGTCTTGGTTGCTTGCAGGGGCCTCAACTTGGCAACATATCTCGGGCTTGGTGTTGGAAAATGATTCCGCTCATTTGCCAAACAAGCCTGCACCTTGCTTTCAAGATCCTCAATGGTATCGTATCATTGGGCGGTGAAAGCCAAGGAAGCAAGGCAACGATACCCAAGAGAACACCAGACCATTAAAATTGAAATTCAGAAGTTACTTGCCCACAGATTCAGGTTTCCTAATCTTTTCTTCGCCTCAACAAAGGAAGTTTAGAGGTCAAACTTCCGACAATATAGATGAAAAGCAGAGGTGGGAAGAGTCATAAAAGGGAGAAAAAGAGAAGAGAAGGGAAGAAGAAAGAAGATCAAAGAAGAGAAACAGCCAGAAGAAAAAAGATGCAAGCGCGCGAAAAGGTAGGAAAGTCGCGTAAAGTTGTGTTTGTTCAATGCTTTGTGGCTCGGCAGGGTCGAAAAGTAGGCTCGCTAAAGCGGCGGGTGCGAAGCCATCTGGTCGGATGAGAGATGAAAAATTGCACGCCGTTGTAGCGCGAAGCACACTTCATAGTCAAAAGTGTTAAAAACCAAAGGTCTCGGACCACTTTTGGACGTTGAGATTTGGAAAAGTGCACGCCGTTGTGGCAAGAAGCACCTTTGGAAATCAAAATGCACCAAACACCTCAGCGTCGAACTACTTCTGGAAGTTGTGATGCTAAAAAAACTGCACCCCGTTGTGGCGCGAAGCGCATTTTCAAGTCGAAAGTGTTAAAATGTTAAAACATGTTAAAAACACCGCATGCTCGGACCACTTTTGGAAGTTAGGATGTAGTTCTGCGTGGCAGGCGCAAGGGATTGCGCACCTTGTGTGAGGGTTTTGCAACAATTTCAAAAACGGTGGCAGGCGCGGGACAGTTGAAGAGGATCTGCAAAGATGCATGTCGCATGGCAGGCGCGGTCGAGGAGACATGTTCATCAGAGATGTTAGGAAGTCAGGGCGCTGATTTCCTGAGAGGGGTTGCATGTTGGAGCATAGGACGCGTGACAGGCGCAGCACTTGGTATGACCTGGCATCACTCTTTCGCGGCAGGCACAACACTTGAGGCCCGAAGCCGTCCTCAACTTTGCATTTTTGAAGGATGTCTCGCTGAATTTCTTCCTTTTTGATGTGTTGTCAACTTCAAAAATTGAGGAAGCCTTGCAGAATTGCTGCGCTTTCAAGTTTGCAGATAGACAGATGGACAGATAGACAGACAAATAAATACATAGATAGCGAGATAGAGAGATAGAGAGATAGATAGATAGATAGATAGATAGATAGGTTAGATTAGACCAAACTAGATTAGATTAGATTAGATCAAATCAGATTAGAATAGATCAGATTAGATTAGGGTAGATAAATAGATAGGCAACTATAACCACAACTACAACTGACAATTACAACTGCAACTACGCGCTAGCTACTAGTTACAATACGCTACACCAATTACACTGCAACTACACTACATTACAATGCACTAATTACATGACCCTACACTACATTTCATTAGACCACAACTATTACAACCACAACTTCGCTACACTACATTATACAACACATTGCTACTCCAATTACACGGCTCTATACAACACCTACACCTACAACTAAAAATTACACTGCATTATAATACTACACTACACTACTTGCACGACACTACACTACGCTATACTACGCTACACTCTGCTACACTGCAATAACTACAAGTACAACTACAGCTACAGACTGCAACTTCACCAATGACAGTACGCTGCAACTACAACGCCACTGCACCTACAACTACAACTACAGCTGCACTATACACCATACTACATCCAGGAGTTATGGGTGAGGCGACAACTGCAACCATTGCAGCCGCTCCAAAAAACGCAACCCCAACCACCTTTCGGTGCATCAATGGATTCGCTCTGCCATCCGTGATTCACAACAACCAATCTCTCCTATAGGTTTCCTATTTTTGAAACTTCCGCCACCGCCTTGTGCGGTACTACTGGTATACATTTATGCATCTATACATATATATATATATATAAATATGTGCACACTCTATATATATATATATATACATGGTCCTCGAAACGCTAAATTTACAAACCGGCGACAAAAAACATGCACAAAAAATGTGACTTCAACAATCTGGAATGCAATTCGTTCAATCTACCGTCACCCTCAAATATCTTTCTCAACAAAAACCCAAGCGAAACACGCATCACAATCCAGTCTTCGGCTGAAACAAAAATAACTAGAAACACTACAGTTGTCATATGCTTTTGACATTCTGAGATAACGCGCGACGATCCATCTCAGATGGCAAATTCTTTGTTCGCTTTTTTTCTGCCCTCTTCATTTTGCAAATATGTCTACCTTGGCCATGCTGGTGGCAGCGGGTGCCCTAGAGAAAGTAGCAAACTGACTATGACCAAACCGACATTAGCCACATGAAATGAATTGCCAACTGCGGCGGCACTCCGGGTTAAATTGTCTGCCTCCAACAAAGCCTGTTCCGCTAAGCAAGAGTAGACTGGAAAACTCATTGCAGCAGCTCTCTCCCGTGCTGTCAACCACCTTGATTTGCCAGCCAACCACAAAATCCCAGCATTGTGCTTGAACGTCATCAAGGGCCCTGGCTTGGGCACCCTGCGTTTGGCAGGGTTGTCGCCCAAGTTCACCACACACCGATCATCTGCAGAGGCCGCAACCCCATATCGATTCCACCACTGTTCTGCGGCATGGGCCAAATAGCCCTGCTGCTTCTCAGTCAACAAGTAAGACCAGCTGGGTGAAAGCTTGGCAACAGGATCCAGATGTTTGCAAGCTCGGGCGGCATTCTCTTCATTGAGCAGGTCCGACTCTGTCGGCAATGAAGTGATCCAAGCCCAAGATGGGCTACTGCTAAAGTGCTGCTGCAGAGAAGCTGCCAGCTTGGAGTATACCTTCACTGGGTCGGCCAACAACTGCACATCTTCCCTGACAAGAAGGTGGTACACACGCGGGCGCCGCAGGAATGGAAAGCCACAATGACTTGGTTCGGAATGAACTTCGAAGATGCGATACTCTGGAAACAGCTCGGAAAGGAGTTCCGCCTCAAACCTTTCCACATTTTCATGGATGAGGGCCTTGGTGCCCCGAGCCCGGTGGACACGAGAATAAGCGATGAGGCAAACAATTCGTGGATCCTCCCGGCCCATTCCAACCCCATCAGAACTGAAGGGCTGGCAAGGGCTTCCGGTCACATCCATGTCAGCTTCAGGCCGTGGAAATTCACCACAGCAGGGACAAGACGAAACCACCTTCAAATTCTCAAAAAATGCTTTCCGCGCCTGAAAGCCTTGCAGTCTTGCTAGCTTATCAGTCGGATCAGGAACAAAATTGTGCATGACATCACGCTGCAGGTGGCCGTCTTTGTTCCTGCCCTCCAACACTCTACGGCAAGCAGGGTTCTTCTCACAAGCACTGACTGACACGAAACAGCCCGGCAAATCACGAGCTTTCCATGCCGCGTTCAAAAACTCAAGGGCAACTTCCAGACCACCAATGCCGCTGAAATAGGAGCTGAACATGACCCGTTTGTTGGCCCAGGAGCGCTGCAGATGCGCAAAACCAAACTCTGAAAGAAGAAGGTCAACTAGTCGCAGAGCCCACTGATAACAACATTGGGGAGCATGCGTCTTGTCACTCTGCTGCAACAAAGGGCCGCTTCCGGCCATCGCACCTCCTGAAGACGAACCAATCTGCAACCCAAAACCAACATCCTGAGATGGGACTATTTCAGCATTGTCTGCTTCACTGACCAGCATCGTGTCATCCAACAAATCAAAGCCGCAGGTGTCTGACATGAACAACTCATGGTTCAAATCAAATCGGCCACCATCAGCCATCATAGCATCGTTTGTTGAATCAAAACTGCAAGCATCTGACACTGGAGGCCCGTCTTCCTGAAAGTCAAAGCTGCAATCATCAAGCAAAACATCAGATCCAGGATCTTCAGAATCTAGATCTGGCAAATCAAAACCGGCATGTGGTGAAGGGCAAGGCTTCAATGCGCAGCCATCCTCCAAGCCGGTTGCCATCACAGGCCGAAGTTGTGAAAAGCAAAAGCTGGTGGTATTTTGATCGGCTGACGTTTTATCCGGACAATGAACCGCACACTTAGGATAATGTTGATGAATGGTCTTGTTTCTCTTGATGGTGCCGATGCTTATATTATATAGCCTGTGGGCCTTCTATGGAATCAGCGAGGCCGAGCAAGAGCAGTCTCTTGGCAATGCTTCCCAAACAAATCAATATTGGAATGGGCCCAAGCAAATAAAATTATTTTACTTCGTGTGATCCCCACCATGACATTTATACATTTTCTTACTGGCAAATCTTCTGGCATTCTATCTGACACATCTTCTGGCATCTATCTGACATTCTATCTGGCATATCTTCTGGCATATCTTCTGGCATATTATCTGGCAAATCTTCTGGGATTCTATCTGGCATATCTTGTGGCATTCCATCTGGCATTTTATCTAGCATTCTATCTGGCATGCCTTCTGGCATTCTATCTGGCATATCTTCTGGCATTCTATCTGGCATATCTTCTGGCATATTATCTGGCAAATCTTCTGGGATTCTATCTGGCATATCTTGTGGCATTCCATCTGACATTTTATCTGGCATTCTATCTGGCATGCCGTCTGGCATTCTATCTGGCATATCTTCTGGCATTCTATCCGGCATATCTTCTGGCATTCTATCTGGCATATGTTCT